ATCAAATTTAATTTATACGGACTTCCTTAAAGGTACGGCGGTGCAGAAACTGGGCGGAGTATCAGGAGCTGATGGCGAGGCGGAAGGGTAAGCGGGAAGGTCGACCAGCGCACCTGTGGAACAGGGAAGTTACTCCGTTACATGACCCGACACAGCCAATCGCCACAGGTGAGATCACATGACCGTGAAGGAGATTTTAATTTAAAAATGTTTTTTACTGTTTTGTGTGATTTGAGTTTTTTTTCCAGGAGAACTGCTGGAAAAAATCAGCGTGATCAAACCGACTCATTTGCTGGAGGGAGCGTCCAGGTATCCACGATTTGTTTTACTCACATGAGCAGAAGTGTTATTTTTAACCCTGCACATCCAGTGCACAGTCGGACGTTTGTACCCCTCAGTAAAGGCAACGTGGGATCTTAGAATTAATGCCAGAGATGTAGGGCTGCTCGATATAACCATATATCGGATGACGATATAAAAACGTCTGTCGTTTGTTTCGTGGTGTCGCAAAATAAACTGTTTACGGCAATATTTGTTTCATCGTTTTGATTCACTGTAGTGGCTTATTAATTTCTTAAAGTTCTGTCTTTCTCTTATGATTTAATATAACCACACTACTAGACGGACAAACGCGCTTGTTTTTATGCGTTGTCGTTATTTCCACATAAACCTTTCACAATAAAGCTCAAGATCCTGTTGAGACTTTTCAAAATAAACTGAATCACATGAAAGATGCAGATTATTTACGGATGAGAAGCAAAAAAGAGCCGCCAGGTGCTAAAAAATAAACCTTAGACTCAAACGTTAGAACAGGCTTTTCCCCGCAGCACGCCGTGTCATAAATACTCACAAAGAAAACGGCGCCGTTACAACTTATGTCTAAAAATGATGAAAAACATGACGCGCAGCTGGAAACACTTCACGCAAGTCGAGCTGCCCGAGATTCACAGAATTTACAGAAAAATGTTACATTTTTGTGATTTATATTGTTATCGGACGATAGATGTCTTATATCGGGATATGAGGTTTTGGTCGTATCGCACAGCCCTACAGAGATGCATCAGATCCTACTGAAAATCTCAGATAAGACCTCAAGGTCAACTTTTCTGAAAAACGCCTAAATTTATGCCACTGCTGCAAGTCTGCTTTCTGGTTTTCTGTTTCTGGAGCTGGGACTTCATGTGGGCTTGATTATAAGCTGTGACGAGTGCAGCCTCTGTGTGTTTACTGTGATTAGAAAATGCGAGTGAAAAAAGAAACAGTCATCGCTCACTCGTCTCGCTGGTGTCGCATTTTGCCGTCTTTAATTTACAGACCATAAAGGCCGTGGGCGTTGTGCTGATGCAGTCAGCATCGTTCAGGATGACCTTGTGCTTTGTCCTCTCAGGTTAAAAGATGCGGACGATTGGAGGATTTGTTTCAATGTTTACCAGCCCAACACGGTGGCCGACTTCAAGAAGAGCAACCCGGGGAAACCGTACTCACGCATGTGTGTGTGCAGGTCAGCAATCACATCGCCGCCCGACGGCGTATTTATTCAGGATTAGTTTGTTTAAAGGAAAAACAATAGATGCTTCACTCAAATTAAATGAATGTCCCGGTGGCTGGACATGAACGGAGCCTTTCTCTCGTCCTGCTTGGTGTGATTCTAACCACTAATAGCTGCTTAATTATTCAGAGCTGTGATGAAGCAGCAGAATTTCTCAAGCTGGATCATCAATCGAGTTATTTTAGTGTCTAAAAGTCTATGTGGTTTAGGCATTTTAGACAAAAATTATAAAATATAATTATATAAATATTTATATATTATATATATATATATATATATAATATAATTATTTTTAAAATTATATTATATAAAAATACAACTAATTGTGCAGAAGCCCTAATCTGTGACAGACTTATAAATCAGATGTTTATTAAACTCTTCCACACCACAGTAGAAAATTGCTCTATCTTAGACAATTACATAATCTCATCTTACATCCTCAGGTGTTTTTTCCTGCTTTGTTACTTTTGTGTGTGTGTTTTGGCGAGCGTCTTTGTTTGGAGATGTGTGATGGTTCAAACTTTTTCTGCAGTAACACTCAAAATTCGAAGCTTCTGCAGCAGCAAATCATTCTGCTGTTGGTCTTTCAGCCACGGTTCAATGCAAAATGTATATGTGTATATGTATGTATGTATATGTGTATATGTATGTATGTATATGTGTATATGTATGTATGTATATGTGTATATGTATGTATTATAATGTATATTGTTATTTTTATGTGTATATGTTATGTATAATAATATTAATATTATATATATGTAATATTTAATTAGATTAAGTTTTAATTATATTGTTTTTTTATGTATGTATATAATTTAATTATTTAATATATTTTTTAATATATATATTTATTATAATAGTATAATATAATGTATTTATGTGAATATATATGAAATATTATTAAGAATAAATATATATAATTTAATAATTTTCTATTATATTATAGATTATTATTATAATATTAATAATATATATAATTAGTAACTTGCTGGGGCCATCGGTCTGATTCTTTGCTGAGTGATCTCATATACTGACACCTTTGAATTGATTACCTCTGTGCTGTGTCCCAGTTTCGATGACCCCGTGCCCGACCTGCGAGCCATCAAGCTGCTGGCCTATCAGAGCGGAGATATCCCAGTGGTCATAGCTGTGGTGGACTATGGAGACATATCGTTCTACACCTTCAAAGACTTCCAGCTCCCCACTGATGTTTACCCCTAAGAACCGCCCACCCACCCGGGACTTTTTAATAAACCTCTGTTTGCTGGACTGGCTGCATTTTCTGTGATTTATGGTGGAAAGATGGTTTTAGTAAACAAACAAACAAGAACAAGTGTGTTCTGACAATGTTTGCATACAGTTTGGCTCCAGTTTACATCTAAAGACAATTTTATTGATCATCTTGACTCAGAAGTCCTTTACGATGATGAAAACAAGGGACCAGGAAACTTTGTCCACATTATGGACACCAGCATCCCATCTGGTACCTGCCCACTGGGGCAGGGGTTCTTTTGAGAGCCCCTGGTGGGCACCAAAGGTGGAAGTTTGATCCCTGGCTGGTTAAACTGGCTTCAGGTACAAAGAATTTCACTTAGAGCTAAGTGTTCTGTTAGCCGTGGGTGCTAACAGAATGAATGAGTTTGCAGAAACCAGTGACGGAAATAAACTTCCTCCAGAGGCCTGTTGGGACTCTCCTGTAGCGCTGGGGCAAAGGGCTCTGAGTAAAGCTGCTACTCCAGCGCATTAAAAGGACTCTGTTAAGGCTTCATATGACTAGGATCTCCTGGGCGCTTCCAGGTGAGGTTTTTAGGCATGTCCGACTGGGAACAGGCTCTGGAGCAGATCTGAGACTAGGGGTGGGTTTCAATAATCGATTAAAATCATTCTAACGTGATATCGATTCATTAAAAATCCTGAATCGATTTTTAAATATAATATTCTTGCCCGAAAGCCGATTCAGGTTAAACCTCACAAAACTATTCAACAACCACCAAACAGCTAAAACGGTAAATGAGAGCAGGTAAACGGGTTCCGCACAAAGACTAAACACAAAGTGCGGATCCGACACGTTTGAATCAGTGGGCCGTCGGCTTTCTCACCCACGTACTCGGCATCGGAGCTGAAAGCCGACAGCTCACGGACCCTGACGCGCCGGCGCCTCCGCGCTTTGCGTTTACGTCCTTTTTGCGCTGATTCTGTTGCTGCAGGTTTCATCTCCAAACAAAACTGACTGAGCCAGCAGCAAAAGAAGATCCAAACTTCACATTTCGCTTCAGATAAACATCGTCATGAATTCTCTTACTTTTGCTGTTTTGTTTCCACCACGATAAAATGACACTTCCTGCAGATCTCTCTCTCTCTGCAGTTTCTCATCTAAAAATCTAAATTTCTGCTTTATTGGCTTGCTTATATTTTATGCCTCCTAACAAGAAAGCCTCATGTCTGCTGTTTGATACCGAAGAAATGTAAACTTTTTTTAAAATAATGCCAAATTGCAAAACAGCTGTGTCTCTAATAAAACCTTTGTACCTTTGCTCTGCGTCACTTCAGCAGCATCAGGAATGTTCAGATGTTGATTCTTGTTTTTTGTTTTTTTCTACTGCAGAATATTTTTAAGGTCATCTGCTTAAAACGCCAGGACAGGAAAATCTCCTTCATGTTTTTCTGTTTTATCCTCAGTTACTTTGACACAAAGGAACTGCTGTGATGCTCACACCTCAGATGAAGTCTCACGAGTGTCCTTAACTGATAAAGGATCAGAATTATAATATTTCTGTCTGAGTCAAAATTTCCACGAATCGAATTGAAATTCTGGATTGAATTGGGAGCATGTGAATCAGAATCGAATCGATTGTAGTGACGATACCCGGCCCTGCCCGACACCCACGGAGGGATCACGGCTCTTGGCTGGGTCTGCTTCAGTGTCGCCCCTGCCTTGATTCAAGCCTTGTCCCTTGCACACACAGATTTCCTGCCAGAATCTTAGATGACAGTTTTAGATTGAGGAACATCATTTTGAAGTTCCACAATTTGTAGAAGCAGTTTTTTGTTTTTTTTGCAGATTGGTGAACCTCTGCTCTCCAAGATGCTCTTTTTTTTTTTTTTTAACCCAATCATGTTACTGACCTGCTGCCAGTTAACCAGCTGTTTCTTTTTAATACTGTTTACTTTTTATGCCACATCTCAGTTTTTTCCACACGTTGCTGCCATGAAGTTCAAAATGAGCTGATTCTTTTTTTCTTTTTAATGAACTCGTACATGTTTTCTTTGCTCTGTTGGGAATAAAATATGGGTCTTTGAGATATGCAAATAACGCCATTGTTTTTGTTTCCATTTTACACTTTAATTCAATGTTAATTTTGGATTGACATTAATTTATTACTGTTCTAATTATCTAATTAACATTATCATGTTTAA